GAACAAAGATTGCAAGACATAGAAGACTGGTTGGATAGCAATCTATGAAAAGAAAATATTGCAAAAATACACGAACAAAGAATACAACAAAAAAAAGACGGAAAGGAAAAAGAGAGAACAAGAAATACAAAAAACATACAATAATATAGAAGAATTTCGAATTGCATCTACAGAAACCAAAAATATTGTAGAAATAAGTTATAGGGACTGGTGTGGAAAGATGTCCGAATTTTCTGGAAAAACTATTTTTATACTCGAACGTGTTGCAGCTAGATGTATCGAAAATATCGAAAATGTAGATGTATATTGTTTTCTATCTATTTGGCAAACCAAAAGACTGCGAAAGATACTAGAATTACTAGAACCAGTTGCACAACATACAAACCAGACACAAATTGAAGGTTGCGCGTGGAAGAAACAAAAACATTCTACAACAACAAGAAAAAAAAGATAGAATACGTACAATCCACTAGTTGTAGAAAAAACACCAAACGAAGAAGTACTTGCAGCAAAAGTGGATGATTCTTCCATGCAATATATAGAAAAACTGCCAGCATGGAAAGAATGCACAAAAGCATTGGATATGGAAGGAGAATATACATGTAGAAAATTTGCCAAAGGTATACACTGAAAGGCAAAAGAAATGTCACTTCTGAAAATACTGATAAAACTTAACAGACACTGGCAGTTACATGTTCTGTGGTCAATAAACTCATTTAACGTTCTCCTGCTTCTTTTTGTTGCCTTAAAGTCCATTTAACAATTGAGTTAAAAATTGAGTGCTTTCCCAAACGCAGCCTACAAAAGTGCAATGGGACTCAGTTGCGGAAAAGTCTTGTCAAAAACATGATGCACGTGCATATCGTGGTTGGTATGGGTATAAAAGACACCAAAAACTGTTTTCGTTATTTCGATTCATCAGCCATGCAAAGATTATCAGGAAATGAGAGACAACAAGCGATCAGAAGACTGCAAGCAGGCCAGAATGGACGAGTCTTTGCAAATGCATTCAATGTCAACGTCAGAACGATATATCGTTTGCAACATCGCCACAACACCACCAACACCACCGACGACCGACGGCATTGTGGTCGTCCTAGAGTCACTACTCCCAGACAAGATCGGTTCATGATAGACCAACATCTGCAGAACCGATTCCGAATGGCCACTGAAACAGCTCGGCAAACCATTGGCAACCACCAGCGTGCCATCAGTGATCGTACAGTCCAACGTCGCCTAACTGTCAACAACATCTCGTGCCATCGTCCTGCTCGTGTACCCATCCTGAGAGATCGTCACCGACAGGCCCGACTGCAATGAGCCAGACAGCATCAAAATGGGCGTCAACAGCAATGGACAAGATTCATCTTCACTGATGAAAGTCGCTACTGTGTTTCAACGGTGGATGGCAGAGTCAGGGTCTGGCGAAGGAGGGCGAACGTTATGCTGATGCTTGTGTTATGGAACGAGACCCGTGGGGCGGCCCAAGCATCATGGTTTGGGGCGGAATCGGACTGAACCAGAGAGTGGGACCTATGGTCTTTCAGAATATTGGTCCAGGCAGGGGTAATGACATCACAGCTCTCCGCTACATTGACCAAGTCCTCAGACCCCATATCTTGCCTTTTTTTGCCCGTCATGAATCCCATTGAACACTTGTAGGATGAGATCGAACGCCGACTCAACGACGTACACCCAAGACCAACAACTGCCCCAGAACTGCATGTAGCGTTCCTGAGGATATGGGCCCATATCTCAATGGCCTTCATCAACAGGCTAGTCCACTCCATGTACAGGAGATGTGTGGCTGTAGTCAACGCCCGTGGTGGCCACATCAGGTACTGATTTTGAACCCCCCAGCTGTGATGTCTTCTGGTGCCTCCCCAAATTCACAATTCGTAAAAACATTCCCCAGACTGTTAATTTCATGTGGGCCAAACACTGACTTTCTCTGATGTCTTTAATATAAGCATTTGAAAACAAAGATATTTCTATGATACATCCACATGACGTTTCTTTTGCCTTTCAGTGTATTTCAAGGATTGGAAAGCAGATGATCAGAAATTCCAGTATATGGGACATTTTTGCAAAAAGAAGTCGAAAAATTTAATCCCTTGGATACATATGCAGCACCAATACTATTCAAAAAAGGTAGAAAAAAGAGAGTAATACATAGGAAGAAAGATAGATTGGTATCTATACCTGCAAAACACTGATAAAACATTCCATAAGGCAAAACATGTCTTGAGTGCCCTGCTTTAACTGAATCGAAAACAGGTGAAGGTGAACCGGCGAAAGTTGATAAATATGTGGTCGTAGGAACGGTGTGTCATTTACCATCCTTCTGGTAAAACGTTTGACAGACTGAACTTGATTTATATGTTTACCCACAATTTCCTCTTTGGACATTTCTGATCGGGAACACCTCCTGTCACGGCAGAGTTCAGAGTCGGTGTGCAGAGACAGCACCAACCCTCCACAGGAGCAAACAGTGATTGAAAATGAATTGATAGATTGTTGTTTTCTAACACATTCCACCAGAAGAGATCCACTGCGAAAACGTGTCGCATTTCTAACCTCCCCACAATAGTGAGTGAGTGAGTGAGTATGGTTTTACGTCGCTTTTAGCAATATTCCAGCAATATCACGGCGGGGAACACCAGAAATGGGCTTCACACATTGTACCCATGTCGGGAATCGAACCCGGGTCTTCGGCGTGACGAGCGAACGCTTTAACCACTAGGCTACCCGACCGCCCCCTCACCACAATAGCCATTAACAGATATGGATACAGTGAAAGGGTTCAGTTTGATTGGTTCATGGTCTGTAGCTTCGATCAACATGTATATTTTCACCCCGTGTAAATGTTGTGTTACTCAAACCATATTTAAGAGACGCGCACCTTTTCTAGCTTTTATCTGAGTCATGCGCTCTTTTCTATATTGTAATGAATATTGGTGAGAGTATTCATACCGACGTTAACCTTTGTACCCGGGTATATTGCGACGTGCATGCACGTGTGTGTGTGTGTGTGTGTGTGTGTGCGTGCGTGCGTGCGTGCGTGCGTGCGTGCGTGCGTGCGTGCGTGCGTGCTTGTGTGTGGCTGCTTGTACTAGTCCGGACTGATGCCGATTTATAGTGCTAGCACACTGAGATACAATGCCACAGTTTAACATGAATACCCCACTCAGACACAGTGTACCGACTCCGAGCCGACCAGTCCCTGTTTAAGCCACTGAATGCCGAGCGCCAGACAACGCAACAACAAGTACCAACTTTTAACGTCTTTTGGTATGACGCGGCCGGGGATCGAATACCGGACCTTCCGCTCTGTGGGCGGACACTCTACCACTAGACCACGGAGGCGGTCTCGATCACAAAGAATCGAGCCTAAGAATCAACATGTGTATTAGCCCCATCAGACGAATTTGTGTCCACATGTCTTCGTTTAGAACCAGAAGGATTCTTAGCCATGGTGACAGAAAATGATTCAGCAACCCTGCTCCCCACCCCAATGTAGTGTCAACAAGGACAGTGTTAAAATGCAAAAGATATCCAAAATGATACTTGTACACCAAGTTAAATGCCAGATGTGGTATATGTGAGACCACATGTGGCACAGAGACCTGGGTGTCTACTACGGGTGGATCAAGGGTACATGTTGTACAGTGGACATACAGACCTGGGTGTCTACTACGGGTGGATCAAGGGTACATGTTATACAGTGGACATACAGACCTGGATGTCTACTATGGGTGGATCAAGGGTACATGTTGTACAGTGGACATACAGACATGGGTGTCTTCTACGGGTGGATCAAGGGTACATGTTGTACAGTGGACATACAGACCTGGGTGTCTTCTACGGGTGGATCAAGGGTACATGTTGTGCAGTGGACATACAGACCTGGGTGTCTACTATGGGTGGATCAAGGGTACATGTTATACAGTGGACATACAGACCTGGGTGTCTACTATGGGTGGATCAAGGGTACATGTTGTACAGTGGACATACAGACCTGGGTGTCTTCTACGGGTGGATCAAGGGTACATGTTGTACAGTCGACATACAGACCTGGGTGTCTACTATGGGTGGATCAAGGGTACATGTTATACAGTGGACATACAGACCTGGGTGTCTACTATGGGTGGATCAAGGGTACATGTTGTACAGTGGACATAAAGACCTGGGTGTCTACTATGGGTGGATCAAGGGTACATGTTGTACAGTGAACATACAGACCTGGGTGTCTTCTACGGGGGGATCAAGGGTACATGTTGTACAGTGGACATACAGACCTGGGTTTCTACTATGGGTGGATCAAGGGTACATGTTGTACAGTGGACATACAGACCTGGGTGTCTACTATGGGTGGATCAAGGGTACATGTTGTACAGTGGACATACAGACATGGATGTCTACTATGGGTGGATCAAGGGTACATGTTGTACAGTGGACATACAGACGTGGGTGTCTTCTATGGGTGGATCAAGGGTACATGTTGTACAGTGGACATACAGACCTGGGTGTCTACTATGGGTGGATCAAGGGTACATGTTGTACAGTGGACATACAGACGTGGGTGTCTTCTATGGGTGGATCAAGGGTACATGTTGTACAGTGGACATACAGACCTGGGTGTCTACTATGGGTGGATCAAGGGTACATGTTGTACAGTGGACATACAGACCTGGGTGTCTACTATGGGTGGATCAAGGGTACATGTTGTGCAGTGGACACATAGACCTTGGTGTCGGGGATGGGTAATATATAATTTACTTCAATAGTGACAATACTCTCAACACAAGACTATTGTGGCAACATACTTGGTATGTAACACAACACTCTGATTAAGTTCCCTGCCTTATTTGCTGCTGTGGTGCCACATGTGCGCACAGGAATTTTCTGTCAGAGCATTCCTGAGTTGGCTTTTTGTCAAACACTTCTGGCTAAGTTCGATGTTGATCCAGCACCAAGTCAGTCTTCTCGTAACTGCGAAGAGCTGCAAATATCTCTGCATGATGGAAATTACCAGAGTTGTATTCATCAGTCTTGTGTTGCTATGTGGTGTCAGAGACGCACATGCTGATACCAATTTGACCGCCTTGACTGGACAAGTGAGAGTCCTGACCGCAACTATCCAAGCATGGAAAGGAAGAGTTGTTAATATTAAGACTGATATGAAACAGCACTTTAAGAGGTGGGAGTCATCACTGAAAAATCAACTGACTGACACGTTCCTTCCTGCCCTGATAAAGCCTCTAGTGAAGCAAGCGATTACTGGCATCCTGAAAGAGTATAACATTAGGAATATTATCAGTGGACATGTTCTGGATGTAGTAAACAACATGAAAGTCAGTGTACAATACACAAAAACACAACTTCAGGCAGTAAAACAACAGTTGAGACGTGTTGAAAGGGAAAGGGACAATTACAAAGAAAGTCTTGGCAAATTGCGAAGCGAGCTGAACCAAGACATCCACAGCTTACAGCTGCAGCTGAATGAGACGGTAGCTGGTCTTCTTGATGCAAAGATGGTGAACACTGTGCTAAGGAACGATTTAATCACACTGAATACAAGCTGTGTGAAGATAGAAGAGGTTGAAGAGCGAACCAATGATGAACAATCATACAGGGAGGGTTTGAAGGAAATGCAGCAAAAGTTAAAAACTGACATTCAGAGGTTAAACATTCAACTAAATCAGACCATTGATGACCTACATGATTCAAAGCAAGTAATCACCGGTCTTACAGAGGACATGGTGACACTGAATGCAAGCTGTGTGAAGAGAGAAGAGGTTGAAGAGCGCACCAGTGTTGAACAATCATACAGGGAGGGATTGCAGGAAATGCAGCAAAAGTTAAAAACTGACATTCAGAGGTTAAACATTCAACTAAATCAGACCATTGATGACCTACATGATTCAAAGCAAGTAATCACCGGTCTTACAGAGGACATGGTGACACTGAATGCAAGCTGGGTGATGAGAGAAGATATTAAAGAGGTCGATGTTACTGACAGGTCGCTGACTACATCGTCGTTGTCGCAGGTGTCATTCACAACATCGCCCCCTTCGTTTCCTGGTGCTGCAGGAGGTGAGACTTTTAGCAGAGATTTCTCTCTAAACATTCCACGCGAAAGATGCATGATTCCTTTGCAAAAAGCATTGGTGTATTTCTTGAATTTCAAACTATATATATATATTTAAGAATTGACCTTCACTTTGTGTGAATTCATTGGAGTATGAACCTTCATAGAGTGAGGGCCAAACTGTATGAACGTCGGATCTTGCGACGACGTTCATACAATGTTTGGCCCTCACTCTATGGAGGCGGTCACTGCCTAGACACGGATCGAGTCGATACTACGCTAGTTTGGATGTGTATTTCTTCGTTTGCTCATTAGGACGGGCCGTAGCGAAGGTATTCGTGAATAATCATGCAGTCAAGCTCTCTGATTTTTCTCAATGCATACTGAAACGCTGAGACCAAGATTAAAGGTTCTAAAAGATCAGAAAGAACGCTTATGTATGTTTTCGTGCTAGGGAATTCCCAGGGGTTTCCCTGGGAATGTGGAGGTAGTCCCAGGTGTTTACGTCATTTCAAGAGCACAGGCTCTTGAAAAACGCATGAACGTCAAATTGTGTCGTTCCTACACTTATGAACGTCAATTTGGCGGACATGTGACCGACCTCTCGTCCAATGGAAAAGCCGTATATCGTGTAAACTTAAAATTAAAAAATGATATATTGATATATATACATACAAAGGATATGCCTTCTTCTGCCTTTAACTTGACCAAAAGTTACTTTTAGCATGTCAACATGTCAACCCCTTACATTCTTACTATATATATTACAAAAAAATTGTGATGAAACGAAAAATCAAATTGACAAACAAAGACAACATTTTAGCAGGGGTCGCGGCAGTCATCGCTTGTTTGAAGTCAACGGTTTCTCGGCTCTCATTTAAGCCTGCTTGCAGCCACCTATCCCAGTGGGGAGCTTTGACTGGTGGCCGCGACAGTACAGAGAGCTCAACGGACACGATAACCCTGTGAGGAGCATGCACACAAGCATCAAAATATACTAACTTCCTGACGACAGCTTACAGATAAATGGCACTAAATTACGACGACTAACCACTGCCTAAATACAATGCAGTGAGCGTCTACCGAATCTCAACAGAAACATTGTTACACGGTTACACACATTATTAAACAATAAAATACACTGACACATAACAGTGTTATCCTACATAAAACTGTCTCAGAAAGTTGAGATGTCTGAACAGAGTCCAATATCCATACTCACCCTGTAGCAGAACGAACAACAAATAAGTAAAACATACATGGAGTTCTACACACTGCACGTATCACAGTTATTGATATAATAATTAAAATGCATTCTCCACATTAATCATGATGTCCTCCTTATGTAATATTCAGAACTTAGTTTTGATGAATAGACATAAATGTTTTTTACATCCCATCACATGAAGCTATGACAGATATCAAATGATTCATAATACTCATCTCTGTGCTACATATTATTTAAACTGCACCAATGCACTCATATGTACAAGATGTAAATTGTACATATAAACATGCAGTTCACAAATACAGGTATGTAGCTTATACTAGGACTTCACGATATGAAGTATACCACACATTGTTGCATAAACATACATGAAATATAAACAATAAATGTTTAATATGCCTACCGAATGTGTGGCACTCAGGTGACAGTAGGCATAATCTACTGTAACTGCTTGTCACTACAGATCCTTCTATAAGTGATAAAATACACGTCACTTACTTAGTTAAGTAAACATGTCATACAATTATATACACAGTAATCCTGCACATGATTTCGTTCTGAACATTATCTCAAATGGAATGGCACAGATAAACCTACATAAACATGCCCGCATCTCAGCCATCCTAGTACAGCATTACCTGTGCTGTGATATACGCTTAGTTACAAACAACACACATGAATATGAATTATATTGATTAATTTCTCATCGCACAAACATAGCATGTACCATGGCATTGAATATTAAACATGGCCAACAAAATGGCGGACAAGATGGGGACACAAATACTTATATATGTCGCCTTATCATAAAAATATTATAGCATTTTCACATCATATCAGAAAACATGAATGGTGTACTTATAATCATTACTGTACTTATACTAATGACTTAAACTACATTCATACAGTCAAATGACACAATTATAACCTACACTGAACTAATGTTTAACATTATACATGCTATACTAAAACAAATATTATATCCTACATATTGTTTATAACTTAGTATTAAAACTAGCCATTAGAGAGACATGCTGCTGTGAAAAGTCGTGGCTGTCACACTTTCTGTCTCATGCAGTGACTGCCTGGTGCAGCTATACATGGTGGACTGACTTACAAAGTGCTTGTGTTAGTATAAAAGATAAAACTGACTAAGCGGAGAGCAAGAATATCTTGCCCTCAAAAGATTACCCCGGACCCCCACCATAACAATAGAACTGGCCAGAACAAGGGCAGCTTGGGCCAATCAGGCTGGAAACTGTTACCGTACATAATCCACTAAAACACTACAACAACACTGTCAAAAACCAATGCGATATATATACAAATATACTAAGAAGGAAATACACTCACACACACACACACACACACACACATACACGCATACACACACGCGCGCGCGCACACAGACACACGCGCGCGCATACACACATATATGTTTTCATACTGTTTCATACGAGAGAAAGTCATGTTTAATTCGTTGGAAATATTTCATCGCGTCAATGTTGCAAACAAAGTTTGCATGTTCGGATAGCTTCATCTCCCCGTGTCATGATCGTCCACAAGTCCATTTATTAAAGTCTAGTTTCCACCCCGATGTACTTTTGATCTTGACCTAGGGCGCCCTGTGCGGGGTCAATCCTTAACTTTTTGTGTCTGCAGAACACATTAAACATTTGGCTACCCACCCCTCACTTCCGCCAGTTTCAAGAATGACAATAACTCTGAGGCGTTCATTACATTGTAGACTCCGTGGTCTAATGGTAGAGCGTCCGCCCGAAGAGCGGAAGGTCCGGTATTCGATCACCGGCCGCGTCATACCAAAAGACGTTAAAAGATGGTACTTGTTGTTACGTTGTCTGGCGCTCGGCATTAAGGGACTTAAACAAGGACTGGTCGCCTCGGAGTCAGTATACTGTGTCTGAGTGGGGTATTCATGTTAAACTGGAGCATGGTATCTCAGTGGGCTAGCGCTATAGATTGGGATCAGTCCGGTCTAGTATAAGCAGCCACACACAGACACACGGGCATGCACGTCGCTATATAAGCGCAATAATCTTGGACGCGACCTTAAACCCCATTTCACATCACCTCAACCAAGAGAAGAGATATATCTCAGCAGGTAGCACAGAGGCAGTGTGCAGTTTAGGATGATTCAGGAACTTTTTGTTCCTATAGACACGCGGGGTAGATTAAACGATTTCTGAATCTAATAAATTTACGCGATTTCCATGATTTGTTAGTCACCATGCTACGGTATATTAATAATTCCTATGCTACAGCAAATGTATTATAAGTCAAGTTCATCAGTGAAAAAATTTGAAAGTCACACATTTGTTGAAAGGCAAAAACTTCTCTGAGGCCAGCAGCTATATTGTTGAATTGCAATATATAGTTTTCTTAGCAGCATATATTGAGGGGGTGGGGGTAGGGGTGGGGGAGGGGGTGGGGGTGGGGGTGGGGGTAACCTAGTGGTTTACGCATTCGCTCTTCACGCCGAAAACCCGCGATCGATTCCCCCAAATGAGTAGAATGTGTGAAGCCAATATGTGGTGTTCCCCCACCCACATGTTGGTGGAATATTGCTAAGAGCGTGTAAAACCCAACTCACCCAACCCAGCTGAACAGCATATTTTGTGTTTCAGCCTCGAGTGACCCGAGTTGGACCGAGAGGAGACCAGTGACCACCACAAAAAAGCCTGCTACACAGGGTAGATACTTTCACTGTAGAACTTTGTAGGAGATGAGGTCAGATCAACATGTAGCAAATATAAGCCAGAAAGTTCACTCCACAAACCTTCATATGAACAGCATTTGTTTGTGTTGTGTATTAAGATAGTCGTTTGAGTGATTTGTTAGTCGCTAGACTACCTTATATTTTTAGTAATGTTTTACCTCTACTAAGATAAACGTATTTAAAATTGTATTAGGTCTAATCAGTGAAAATTTCAAATGCATAAAATTTGTCAAATGGACATATCGTGTATGTATAATGCTTGTGTGGTTTGTATTGTTTTCTGAACAGCATGTTCTGTGTTTCAGCCTCGAGCGACCCGAGTCGAACCGCTTGGACACCAGTGACGACCACAAAAAAGCCTGCCACACAGGGTAGGTGGGAGAACCCCGCAGGTAGAAAGCCCACACTTTAATCCCTCCAACAATTAACAAGCTGGGGTATAGACAGACCCGTGGGGGCTCTGTCTTGCTTCTTGCATGTTATCGTATCTCAGATCGGTGCTCATGTTGTCAACCACTGGCCTGTCTGTATCAAACTCCGCCATCTTATTGCTGGACTACTACAAACAAATAGGCTGACATACTCCAATATCATGACTTATTAGATCTATCTTATGTTTCCAAGCATCTGTAGTGACAGAATCATCATATAAAGCTCAATTAATCAAACGTTAACACTCTCCAGCCTTACATAGAATAATGTTACAACTACTGGATGTAACAAAGATTTTAAACATTGACTACATAATCCTTGATTACATGAAACAGCTGTCGTTCTCCCCTTGATCGTTGTATTGTCTGCCATGTTGGAAGTGTTTGATGACGTATCGTATCACGCGTCAACACGGTGAGGTGTAAACCATGTGGATGTATGACAAAGATGTCTGGATGTGTACAGATTTTACTTTGTGTTACAGCGACTCCATCACTAGCAGACTGCTACCGCCTTGGTGTCGCAAGCAGGACCGGGAACGTGGAGGAGGTGAAGCGGCTCCTGTCTCGGGGCGTCGACATCAACTGTAGGGGAATGGGGAGCACGACACCGGTGATGGTGGCAGCATACAGCGGACACAGAGACGTGGTGGAGCTCCTGGTGAGTAAAGGAGCCGATGTGTCACTGGTGGACAAGGACGGTGACAGCATCCTCCACCTCGCCTGTTTGAGAGGACACTTGGGGACGGTGGAGTTTGTGCTGTCACTGAACGTGGTGGACATCAACAGTAGAGGACAGGGGAGCATGACACCGGTGATGAGGGCAGCAATGGGGGGACACAGAGACGTGGTGGAGCTCCTGGTGAGTAAAGGAGCCGATGTGTCACTGATGGACAAGGACGGTGACAGCATCCTCCACCTCGCCTGTGGTGGAGGACACATGGAGACGGTGAGGTTTGTGCTGTCACTGAACGTGGTGGACATCAACAGTAGAGGACTGAAGAGCACGACACCGATGATGAGGGCAGCAGTGGGGGGACACAGAGACGTGGTGGAGCTCCTGGTGAGTAAAGGAGCCGATGTGTTACTGGTGGACGGTGTCGGTAACAACGTCCTTCACCTCGCCTGTATGATAGGAGACATGGAGACAGTGGAGTTTGTGCTGTCATTGAACGTGGTGGACATCGACGCCAGGAACTACTTGGGGATGACAGCGGCCGACGCGGCGAGACTCATGGGACGTCAGCCAGTCGTGGATCTGCTCGTGTCCCGCGGCGCTCAGTGACGTCAGTGTCGTGTTTGTGTAGAAGGTGGTGGAGGACGCTGACAGAGATGTGGTGTGCCGTTCACGTCGTCGTGTGTAAATATGTCATGATTTTTGTTGAAACTGCTTGTTGTTTTTGGATATGAATAAAACTTCTTAAAACATTTTCAGATATTTTGTCATTTGTTGTGTTTGAAACTTCGCATGATCAGGTAAGAAAATTGTTAACTGAGTGTAAATAGAGATGATGTGTGATTGGTATGTAAACACCGCACCTCGTGATGTGTTCATGCATGACGTTATATATTTCTGTGTTAGTTTTACGCCATAAGTTTATTATTAATAGTGAAAATTGATAGTGTTTGTTTAATCTCGCTGCACTCGGTGACCTAAGACCGAGCCGAGGTTCGCCCAGCTGATGTGGCGCCAAATGTACAATGACAGTGATGTCACACTGTCGATGACGTCACGGCATTCTGGCTTAGGTCTCAACACTGAAGCTGCCTGCTGTTTTCTCTGCCAAATGCGATATCGCTAATGTCACAGGGCGTCACACTGCCGGCTTCACGACATATGCAAGTACAGCACAGGCCTCATGTGGGCGATATATTCTAACAAAGACAAAAATACATCTTTTTCTTTGGAGATGTGTTGCATATTATTGCTGCTGAAATCTAAAAAGAAATATTTCTGATTAGCGAGATATTTATTTTCTCTTTCCAATTCCTCCATTTCAATCAAGCTACTTCCCACCGCGTGACACCTTCTTTACACTCTCGTCTTACGACTGACCAGATTTCCAAGATGAATTTAGAGATATCAATTATAAGGGAGTATACAGTTTCAATATCGATATTTGAGTTGGAATAGTTTGGTGCCTCTGAACAAAACATGACGAAAATATATTGTCCTTACCCACAGCTATATCTCACCAAGTGACAGGTCAGTTACAAAAAATTAGAACTAAGCATTGAGTTCTGCCCCTTTTTCTTTGTACGGTGTAAACCTCTCTGACGCCTTTTGACGTCATAGAGACAAAATCAGTTTTCGCCATTTACGGCAGGCTATATTTTGCATTGAATGTATGTCGTTATACATAGACATAACACTCCATTTGATATATATTTATGTCGTTCAGATATTCAGCGGTATTTTGTTCGCTCACAGTTTCCGTAGAGCTGCTAAATGAAAGAAATCGTCTCACAGTACTTTCGCCAGTGTACGATAAAAAGCGGAGAAATTTCCTGTTTTTAAACGCAGAATAAATACTCAGACACTTAACAGCATCTTTTTTCTCAAACCGGATTAATATCTGCAGTTAAATTTACACCATCAGATAGGAAATATAATATTCTGCATATCTGCGTAATTTTATAGCCGGAGGGAGTTCCTGTCCCGCATGAGCGCAATTCTCGCACAACCTTCACTTTTCAGATCTTAGGAAAATGTGCGTCAGAAAAAAAACTCGGCATCCAGCGGGTTAATTTTGATTGTGTATCCACAAGTTTTAAGATACAGTATTAGTATTATGTAAACCACCGGGCAAAAAGCAAGTGTTCACCGACTTCACTTGACCAAACACCAAAAACAAAAGCATATGTTAGATTGATGATGATTCATTTATAAACAGAAATCATTTTCCATGAATTAGAATGAAAATGCATTGTAATGCCGATATTGCATTCTTCGCAATACACAAAGAGAGAGTCAAGGGGTCCAAATAAAAAATTCCACAAATCAGAGTTCATTGAAAAAGTGGATGAAGAGTCCATTAATGACACAGTAGTCAGGTAACACGTCATCAATAGCGAGTGTGACCACCCTGGGCATCCATGCACGCCAACACACGCCTCCTCATTGACGTCGTCAGTTGGCGGATAACGTCAACAGGAATCCTGTTCCATGAGTTCAATAGAGTCTGTTCATGTTCCCGTCGGTTCGCTGGAGGCTTTACATGCTGTCTCAGCTGACGATCAAGATGATCCCAGAGATGTTTAACGGCGTTCATGTCTTGGGAACAAGGTGGCCAGGGCAATACGTTGACGTTAACGTTGTTCAGGTAGTCTTGAACACTTTTGGCGGTGTGAGGCCTTGCGTTGTCTCGAACCCTGCCATCGTTCCTGATCAGACAGAACCGACTTTCATCTGTAAAGAACACTCTCGCCCAGTCACGTCTCTGCCACCGACGTACAGTTCGTGCCCATTGCAGTCTGCGTTGACGGTGTAGACGGGTCAAGGCCATTCCACGGAAGGGTCGATAGGCTCGTATATCAGCCGTACAAAGTCGTCGAAGGACTGCTCGTCTGCTGATGGCATGCCCTAGTGCTGTTGCCGCCGTTGACGTCGCCGTCAGACGAGTGTTTCGGAGGTGAATCTGTCGGATGAATCGGTCGTCGGCCGGTGTTGTCACTCTCGATCTTTCCGATCTTGGCCGGTCTTGAGTCTGTCCTGTCTGCTGGTAGCGGATTATCAACTTGCTGATGTTGGTCTGGGAGCATCCACTACTAGTGCATATTCTTGTTATCCCCTGTCAGTCTCAACACCTGATGTATAACAGCTACAGAACATACACATCCACTACTGGTGCACATCCTTGTTATTCCCTGTCAGTCTCCACACCTGATGTATAACAGCTACAGAAGTTACACATCCACTACAGGTGCACATCCTTGTTATTCTCTATCAGTCTCAGCACCTGATGTACAACAGCTACAGAGCATACACATCCACTACTGGTGAACATCCTTGTTATTCCCTGTCAGTCTCAACACCTGATGTATAACAGCTACAGAACATACACATCCACTACTGGTGCACATCCTTGTTATCCCCTGTCAGTCTCAACTCCTAATGTATAACAGTTACAGAACGTACACATCCACTACTGGTGCACATCCTTGTTATCCCCTGTCAGTCTCAACTCCTAATGTATAACAGTTACAGAACGTACACATCCACTACTGGTGCACATCCTTGTTATCCCCTGTCAGTCTCAACTCCTAATGTATAACAGTTACAGAACATACAGATCCACTACTGGTGCACATCCTTGTTATCCCCTGTCAGTCTCAACTCCTAATGTATAACAGTTACAGAACATACACATCCACTACTGGTGCACATCCTTGTTATTCCCTGTCAGTCTCAACACCTGATGTATAACAGCTGCAGAACGTACACATCAACTACTGATGCACATCCTTGTTACCCCCTGTCAGTCTCAGCACCTGATGTATAACAGCTACAGAACATACCCATCCACTACTGATTAATTAACTTTTGTTCATATTTATGACTAAATCCACGTGAGATGACCTTGGCTAAATAAGCCTTGGTCCAGAGTCAAATCTCACCCGGGTAGAGCAGGTGTTGGCCTGATCACCTATATCAGAGAGGACATATACATACTAGTGAGTGAGTGAGTGAGTATGGTTTTACGCCGCTTTTAGCAATATTCCAGCAATATCACGGCGGGGGACACCAGAAATGGGCTTCACACATTGTACCCATGTCGGGAATCGAACCCGGGTCTTCGGCGTGACGAGCGAACGCTTTAACCACTAGGCTACCCGACCGCCCCCATATACATACTAATCCCCGAATCCAACAAATCATAAACGACAACATAAGCCCAAAACTTCAAGCTCTCGCTTGCAAACACCCGATCCTAACCCCAATATCACAACCCAACAAAACTAAACACAACGTAAATAAACTAAAACAAAACCCGTAACTCAGTAATAGCATTACACCTGAATTACAAATCCCGAAAATAGCTCGACTCTAAAATAAATAACCCACTCATCAAACAACTTGATAAAATCCTTATTCTATGTGGGCTGCACGAAATTGAAAACAAATATACCAAAAACCGACCTAAACTAATAAACCAGATACTAAAATGCACACTTCCACTAAATACAAATAGAGTTAGTTTGGATCCCTGCCCACGTCGGAGTGTTTGGAAATGAATACGCCAGCCAAAGCAGCCCTCTCGCTACCAGAATAAGCCTCAATATACCTATATCCAAAAGAGAAATTTCCAAAAGTGGCGAACTAATTCTAATCTAAAGCAGATACTACAAAAGCCACTCAAAAAACAAAAATCTAACTACAAACAGGCCACATAAGACTCCCACCAACATATTATCAAGAAAGAGCAAACGAACAGATGCACACACTGCAACCAAACAGAAACACCAGGACATGACCTACTACACTGCGTGCACTACAAACAACACAGACTGACACTATAGAGCAAACCCCACAGTCTCCAGCTACAACCCCACAGGTGACTCGACAGCCTCCACCTACAATCCTGCAGGTGACCCGACAGCCTCCACCTATAATCCTGCAGGTGACCCGACAGCCTCCACCTATAATCCTGCAGGTGACCCGACAGCCTCCACCTATAATCCTGCAGGTGACCCGACAGCCTCCACCTACAATCCTGCAGGTGACCCGACAGCCTCCACCTATAATCCTGCAGGTGACCCGACAGCCTCCACCTACAATCCTGCAGGTGACCCGACAGCCTCCACCTACAATCCTGCAGGTGACCCGACAGCCTCCACCTATAATCCTGCAGGTGACCCGATTGGGATACGATGACATGCATCAACCAAGTCAGCGAGCCTGACCACCTGATCCAATTAGTCGCCTGTTATGACGAGCAAAGTCACCTTTTACAGCAAGCATGTGTTGCTGATGACCTATTCTGACCCGCATCTTCATGGGTGTTCCCTAATGTACCTTATCCTTAAAGTTAAGTAAAACCTGTATTACTGATCCATAATGTTTCCTATGCATTTATAAACCTCAGAGTGTTCATTTGTATTGATCGTTAGGTTTCTTCAAACTTGAGAAAGACCCACATGAGGTTTTACTTGCGTAGAAAACCCGTGAGTTGATTTTCATGGTTATTTATAAACCTATTCATTGGGATCGCTATTAAGTAAGAGTCCTGGGTATTTTATTAATATAAGTTCCGTTCAGATTGTAACATGTAATGAAATGTAAAATCAAATGACAAATGTTTTTTTATATTCCCGAGGATCGAACTCGCAACCTTCATATCTGTAGCCCAGTGTGTGTACCACGAGGCTACAGAGGTGTTGATAA